AAACATAAACAAATAGATGGAAAAGTATGAGTATTTGAAGTTAGAACAAGAATTCGTCAAAGACCATCAGTTATGAACTAGTTGAATTTCTTGGCATATATATATATGAAGTCAAAACTATATCGTTTAATAACTGTTGCTTGTTTAAGGTGTCCCCTAATTCATCACCAAAGCAAGAAAGTGATTTCGTTATATAACACAATTAATTGGTAACCAAATAACCAATTAATGAAATAATTAATTTTAGAGTTGGGTCCCAAAGATCTTGCTTAAATTTTCACTTAATGCAGTCGAACCAATTAAGCCCAGTTGACAATACCACCATGACAATAACTAGCCGTGATTAGTCAAATATTAATCGCAAATCACAATAACAGTGTATTAATTTTTCAACATGCAAGAGGGAGTACGGAACTTTGACAGGTTCGCATATAAAATTTTGTTATCAAGTTGGAGTCTGAATAATCTTGTGCAGCAAAAACAACGTAGTGGGAGTCCCAAAGAGAGATTATAGATAAACAGCAGATACAAATTAAAAATGGTGTTCCCAGATTCTTCGTGGCTCGTCCTAGTTGCAGCTTTGTTGGGTGGATATGCATTCGTGTTTGGATTTGTTAGGAGAGTGAATGAATGGTACTATGTTTCTAGGCTCGGAAAGATGCAACACCCTCTCCCACCGGGTGATATGGTTGGCCATTTTTGGGGAACATTCCCACATTCCTCAAAGCTTTCAAGTCTGACCCTGATTCCCTTATCTATGACCTTGTTTCCAGGTTCTTTTCTCTCTCTCCCTCTCCCCCCTGTACACATGCAATTCCATATTGCTAGAAGGAATCATTGTTTAGTATGGTATGATATCACTACTTATTCATGGTCTAGACCTAGATACAATTCTGTTAGTTGTATTATTCTACTATCAGAATTGAAATTTTACTTTAATAATACATCTAATAAATGATATCATTAAATGTTAATGCATATTAATGAAATAAAACTTCAATTTTAATTAAGGAAAGGTAAAACAACACTTATAATACTATACCTAAGTTTTATAATTTCATAAACTGAAAAACATATGATGATCATAACAACATTTACATTAAAAGGACTGAATTAGGGTTTGAACTTTGGTGCATGTGTTGTTCTATGTACATACATAACTATGTATATAGATATGGCAGGAAGGGTATGTACAGGACGCACTTGTTTGGAAACCCTAGCATCATTGTTTGCAGCCCAGAGACGTGTCGTAAGGTTTTGACAGACGATGAACAATTCAAGCTTGGGTACCCTGCTTCCACCATGGCCCTCACAGGAAAGAGATCATTCCATGGCATCTCGAACGTGGAACACAAGCGTCTTCGCCGCCTAACCACCTCTCCCATAACCGGCCACGAGGCATTGTCCACCTACATAGGTCTCATAGAAGGTGTTGCTGTGAAACAGTTGGAAGAGTTGTCTAGCATGAACACCCCTTGTGAGTTCCTCACACAGATGAGGAAGTTCGCTTTTAAGGTCATCACCACCATCTTCATGGACTCTGATGCGGATCATGTCGACCTTGCCTTGGTCGAAAACTTGTACATAGATTTGAATCGGGGACTCAAGTCACTTGCTATCAATCTCCCTGGCTTTGCCTTCTATAAAGCCCTCAAGGTTAATTAATTAAACATAAACTAGATCTATTGAACCTTAATTATCATACAGACAAAACTTAGATGCATTATCATAAATATTGTCTGATATTTTTTTAATTAGATTCAGAGAATGATACACATGATACTGCTTGCTTGTAAGTTTTATCCTTACTTTAATCAAAATCGAGAACAAGGTTGGTTAATTAATTTCTTGTGCAACTGGGGAGGGTAGAGATTGGTAATTGTCAATGTCACAACATGCCACCTGTCATGGAGACCGGAAATAAAGTAAACAAGTTGTAATTCTATGATGTTGAAGTTACCAAATGAAAGAAGAAAGCGCAATTTTATTTTTTTTATGTCATTGATGGTACATAGGGTTTAATATTTAATGTATGTATATTCAGGCACGAAAGAAGTTGATGAAGTTGCTGCAAGGCTTGGTGAACCAAAAGAGAAGGACCAATAATACAAAAACAAAGAAAGATATGATGGATTTGTTGATGGAAGTCAAAGATGAAGACGGTAGGCAGCTGGAGGATGAAGACATCATAGACTTACTTCTGGTGTTCTTGTTAGCTGGTCACGAAAGTTCTGCTCATGGAATATTGTGGACCATAATCTACCTCATGGAACACCCACATGTCCTCCAAAGGGCCAAGGTTTCATATCTCCAACATATTTTTCTCCAATCTACATATGTTTTCAACTTTTCATTGTTATATGGAGAAAGGTTTATGTATATTGTTTGCTTTTTCAATATAAATTGCTGAGTTTTTTAAACAAAACTAAGAACCTTTCAGGAAGAACAAGAAGAGATCATGGAAATAAGACCTTCCACGCAGAAAGGGCTCAACATTAAGGAAATTAAGCAAATGGAGTATCTATCAAAGGTAAACTTATTATATAAGTTGGAAAAATTGTAAATCATGTGATAACTTTTAATAGAGTATATAACTGAAAAAAACAGTTCTTTTTTAATAAATTAATTTTGTAGGATCAAATTAGATTTAAAATTTTAATCTTAGAATGATAAAAACCAACTTATAATAAGTTTTATATGGCATGTAACATATATTTATGAGTGTAAATTGATAATAATAATAATAATCATAAATAGATAAATAATGAAGAACACAAGATATTAAAAAATGAGCTGGTGAAAATAACTATGCTTTGACATAACACAGGTTATCGATGAGATGCTGCGCAGAACAAGTATTTCGTTTGCAAACTTTAGACAGGCAAAGGTAGATGTGAACATCAATGGTTAGTTATTCAATCCCATATATATATTCAGTGCTTCCTTACATTTGATATTTTATGCTCATTACAACTCCTTAAGATTTAAAAAATACATATAAAAAAAATGCAGGTTATACTATACCAAAAGGATGGAAAGTTTTAGTTTGGAGCCGAGGGGTTCACATGGATCCTGAAACTTACCGTAATCCAAAAGAATACGATCCTTCTAGATGGGAAGTATGTATGATAATATATTATATTTTGTAAAATTGTTTTAACATTCATTAACTCTTTAAGATATTAATTTAATAAAGAAACTAAAGATGTAATATATGTATGTTATGGTGCACTGCAGAATCACACAGCAAGAGCAGGTTCTTTCCTTCCGTTTGGATTAGGAAGCAGGTTTTGTCCCGGGAGTGACTTGGCCAAACTTGAGATCACTATTTTTCTCCATCATTTTCTTCTTAACTACAGGTTAATAAATTTGTTTAATTTCCTCCATCATATTGCAATTAACCATTGACTTGTATATTTTTAAAATTGTTTGTTTTAGAAGTATAGTCTTTTGTGTTACTTGTGAAGAAACCATATAGTATATGATATTTGATTGATGCAGGATGGAGAGAATGAATCCAGAGTGTCCAGTGACTTACCTACCAGTGCCAAGGCCTTCAGACAACTGCACTGCAAGAATTATAAAAGTCACATAAATCATGTCATTCATTACACTCTTGGTCTTGCAAGAAACACGTGGCTAGGCAACCTTGTTTGTTCAGTTCACACTTAGTTATATATCACTATTCTTGAAATGATACTATTTGAATAAATTTAAAGTCACCGGAGTTAGGGGCAAGAAATTTTGTATTTTATTTACTTAAAATATAAGGAAGAAGAAAAAAAAATCAATTGGTTGGGACTTTGCAGTGTATTTTTTTAATTGAATTTTGATTAGTTAAGTTTGTCTATTGTTATGAAATTCATTTATTTACTTTTTAAAAGTTAAAAATATATAAGTTTATTTTAATTTATAAAGGAAAGTTTTATTTATTTTACCTTTTTAATTTCTCTCTTATAAATATTAAGAAGTGTATTTAAAATAGACTTTAATCTCTTTTATTTGATAAAGGAGCTTAATTATTTTTTATTTTACTTTGGGATTGTCTCTCGAAGTGAAAATCTTGCTAGAGGTCTGAGAAATACATAAATTTATTGGATCATGCAAGAAATTACTTTAACTAATCCATCAAGTAAAGAAATATTTGTAAGGTCCAACAAATAAGTGTTTGTGTCTTTCATTATGTTGCCTTGCAGATTTTTTTTTATTCATATGCCTTTGCAGTTGCTTTTATGCATGGCTAAAAAATTAATTGTAAGGGTGAATCTAGAGTATAAGTCTCGAATCAGTATCCAAACGTGGGAACAGAGACTAAATGGTTAGCCTCAAATTGTATTTTAATTAAAAAGTGAAAATCAGTTTCAAATCCTATTTTAATTTGATACTAAAATGTCAGTCTCTAAAATAGATTAATAAAGACCAAAATCAGTGTCTACTTAGATTGTAATTAGAAACTGATAAAATGATCTTTAGTTGAGCAGTGGTAAAGTGGTAAAAATGATTTAGTTAAATAAATAAATTTTAACTTCTTCAATTTATGTTTTATCTCAAGATAGTCAAGGAAGCATTGTTACTTAAATTTCAGAGCATTTTGCAAACCATCATCAATGTGAATTGTAAATTTCAGAGCCGTTACAGTCTAAATTGTTATTCATATCATGTCTTAGATTTGTACTGGAATACTCTCAAAGCACATAAAAGAAATTCGTCTAAAAGAAAACATAAGCATGCGCCTGGGCACAACTTATTTAAATTATATAAAAAATAAAAAAAATAAAAAAAGCTCAAACTGTTCAAGCTTGCTTCAAACAGAATATTGATGAACTCTATTCTTTCAAATGATGCATTTTTAGTAATTACTTCCTCTATTTCTTTAAAAAAAATATTAATTGCACAGATTATGGTGACAAAATATATATCCTTAATAAAAATATTTTTATTAAAGAAATTAGAACGTAGACACACTGAAGTGTCGTGGCAATAGACAATAGCAGGGGAAGGAAGGAAAAATGGAAAGAAGCAGTTCCATTGCATATTAAAAAACTGTTGAGAAGATAATAACAATAATATCATAATAAACACATGAAGAACATTCATAACTGCATGAGCCAATTCAGACTTTAATGACTAGCATCTTCTTCCTCACAAAATTTTGTGTACTCCTTTGGACCCATCAAGGAATGTAATTCAGATGGATCACTTGGCTTTACTTTGATCATCCATCCATCTTCGTATGGGCTTGAATTGACCTTAAAAGTCATTCAGAAAAATAAGTATGTTGATTCGAAGACAAGGCAAATCAACAATATCAAAATAAATAGCCGTGTATATATTAATATATATAAGTAAGAGCAAATAGAACATGCATTGCCATTGATAGTGTAAAAACTGTTACATTAACTGTGCATGCAACTGTTGAATTTTTTGAGTTCTTGCAACAAAATTCTGCTAAGAGCAAATAGTAGAAAGATAATATGGATTAAAGGTTAGAATTGATCACCAGGCCAGGAGTTTCTGTGAGCTTTTTGTTAACCTCAACAATCTCCCCCGAGATTGGAGAATTTATATCACTTGTTGCTTTAACACTTTCAACTGCTCCGAAGCCACTCTTCTTGCTAACTGCACCACCTGGTTCTGGCAGCTCCACATACACAACCTCTCCAAGATGGTCCTGCAAATCCACACCTTCACCCTTCACTGGTGTGCTAACTTTACTTAAGTTGTAGTTAAATTTCAATTAACATATATAAGTACACCCTTACAGAAACATGCAAGTGTTTCCCATTAATTTGTAAATAATAAAGTTCCAAGTTCTAACCACTAACATAACAAGTTAACAGGAACTCAATCGGTTGCACTTTCCTAGCAACCTTGCCTACTGATATTGATATTAAAAAGGATGTTACACACTATAATTTGACACCCACACACGTAACAGACAACCCAAAAAAACAAATGATAAAAATATTGTAACTTGGTAGCAAGCAGAACATCAATAGAACCACTAAAGTCGATCTAACAGTGGCTTTACAAAGGTTGGAATAATATACACGAAGTCACAAGTTTGAACCATTGCACACCAAACAAACAAAGAAACAGAGTAAAAACTTTAGCCTTATCTTAATATATGAGGTTGGCTACATGAATCACACGAGTTGAATAAGGGACAAATTTTCGCTTAAGAAGAGGTGCAAGGAAGCAACCAACCTGAGCATGGTCAGTGATACCAATGGTGGCGACTGAGCCTTCATGCTTGACCCATTCATGTGAATCTGCGTACTTGAGTCCATCCAAGACTGCAAATCAAGCAAAAGACGTGAACAACCAATTCATGGTTCTAGAGAAGAGAAAATTGGACAAAAAAAAAATAGGATAAGCAGAAAAATGCAATATATTGAAAATGAAAAGCGTGTACAAAAAGCCTACATCAAGCATTCTATATAAGCAACAAAACTAATAACTACGTACTAACTGACTAGTGACTCCTATACAATTATATCTCTGATAGCAACTCGAGTGAATTAGTTGGTGAAATATAAAGATGATATTTCATTATATAGATATATTATGAACACATAGATAGCGTGTGTGAGTGTAAATATATAGATATACCGGTAGATAAGCATCTTGAGAAAGAGAAAGAAGGGAAGAGATGAGGTCTGGAGGCAGAAGAGAGTTTGAGTGCATTGGCAGTTGAAGAAGCCCACATCCTGAGTGCCATTGGAGATAACTGAGGTTGCTTCTGTTGTGTCTCTCTAGCTATCACTCTAACTCTTCACTCTGTTTTGGTATTGTTTTTCGAAACACTAAGATTCATATATGTTTTACAAAGTTTATCTTCGATGAATGGTGGGCAGCGAATGCCTCATCCTCTTTATGTTCTGCCTTATGTTTTATATTATCCATTTTAACCAAACACTGCCCTTCGCCTTACCTTCAAAAAAAATCAAACATAAACATGTTACTGTTATAAATGTCGACTATGTCACAAAAACTGGTGCAAGCATGTATATTTCACAAAAACTATAACGAAAATTTCACCAACATCCCAAAATCATAATGTGTTCGATAAATGTATATTTATTTTGTTTTGTTGAGATATATGTCACATTATTGGACTGAAAAATCTAGCAGAATACTTGTATATTCTCCACCATTGAAAAAATAAAGAACTAGATAAACCAAAAATATTGAAGAGGAATCAAAATTAAAGTTGGCCTGATGCATTTTTGGGCTTTTCTTGGACCATTGTACGGAGTTTTCACTGTTTGGAATCTAAACACCAACTAGCCCAAAGAAAATGTGTGCAAGTGTAACTCAGGCCAGCCCGATTGATCATGCACCTAAAATATTTCCTTTATGACTGTTATTTGTCACCTCTTTTTATGAATATACTTGCTAGTTGCAACGGGCTTTTGTTCATCAAGTATTAATTAACATCAATCTCACAAAAGGAATTAATTAAGTAATAAAGGAATGTTTATTAGACTTTTTATTTTTATTTTATTTTGTAAAACAAAATATTCATTAGTCGAAAGTTAATCACTAATCATCCAAGATATTAAAATCCATTTAAGGAATTAATTTCTATCAACAAAATATTTTTTCATTAATACATATCGAGAGTTAAATTCAGCAAATGTTTAAAGGCACAAAGTTGTGTATCATGTTGCTTTGTAGTTCCGAATAATAGACTCGTGATCACAAGTTTCGATCCTTAATTACTAACCAATGTGAATGGCCTGTTTTTGGTCTAACTGAAGAAGTAAATTAATTGAAGTGTACATAAGATATTATAGGTCTTTTTGAAAGAACTAAAAACAAAAGGTTTAACCAACATTTTGCGTTTCGTTTTAGAAACCTTTTTCATATGTTGGATTTAGAAAAGGTGAAACAGAAAAAATGGAAAAGAAAATAAATGAGCAGAATGTGATAGGATTTAATAGGTTATTCGATAGGAAAACATATGAAATAAATAAAAGTATCTTTTTTCTTTTCACTTATTTAGACGTATAGAAAATGGAAAGAAAAAAAAAACTGTATATAAAACAAAATAAATTTCTTTAATAAAAAATAAGAATAAATAAGGGCAAAACAATAATTTATTTTAAAAAAAATCCGTTTAGTTTTATTATATTTTGGACTGATTGAAAAAATTGCGAACTCCACATATTTTTGCATTATTTTCTCTCCTAAAATTAAAATAAATGGTAAAATAACGTATTTCAAGTGTTTTCTATCGTGTTTTCGTTTCTTTCGACGCTTTTTTATTGTTTCAAACAGAGCATTAAATAACCTCAAGCGTGTGATTCAGCGGTAGGGGTTGATCCACGCTTAAGCAAGGTCAGAGGTTCGAATCCTGCCTTGTGTACTCCAGGGACGAACCAAAAAACAGAGCATTAAATTATGATTTGAATAAAAAAAATTACTCATTTCATTTATTTAAACTGTGATTTAGACAACTTGTATAAAACTGTGGTTGAAAAAAAATATTAAAAATAATTAAAAAAATTTAAAGACTAATTATTAACAAAATCAATAAATACTTTATAAATAACACAGTCATAAAAAATTTATGATTTAAATAAATTTTTTAAATACTCAATCTCATATATATATATGTTTAACTCTACAGGTGATTCTCTTTGTAAAAGCGGAAAATGTTAGAAAAAGAAAAAAAGTTAATAAATCTCTTTATACTAAAAAAAGATTAGCAAAATAACAAAATACATTTATTTATTTATTTATTTTGTGATGCAAGAGTAATTTATTAAAAAAAATGTTAGCCGTCTTTTTCTGATATTATTTTTATTATTAGTTAAAATTTATTATAAATCATAAATGTTAATGAATTATATAATAAGCATCTCTTTTAATTTAGAGATAATACTTACTATTGTATCAAAAAAGAGGTAATAGAATTTCTAATAAATTTAAGTTAATAATATAAATAGTATCAAAATAAAATTGTAATTGTCATTCTTCTTTATTAAAATGATGAATTTATGTTGTATTTGAATACTAGTTCTCATACGTTTCAATGCATCCAATTGAAAAATTTGTTTCTTGATGGAACAAAAATCTAAACAAAGACTTATAATATCTATCGACATGTTTGAATTTACATTAATTTTGGTTTAATGTAAATTAATAAAAATAATAATGAATTATTTTTTTTATCAATTTTGATGTGGTTTTTAGTTGAATGTAGATTGTGAATATGAAACAAAAATGCATTCTGATACCATTGTGTTATGATGTAGATTCTCAATTTTCTTTGTTTTTTTTATTTTTTTTCATTTGTGAAAGTTTCTAGTTACCTTCCCGAAGCATTTTATAGGAGAGAAATTTATTCATATTTAAAATTATGATTCTTATAAATTACTAAAATATATTTGATTATTATAAAAATTATTAAAAATATTTATACAAAATTTTTTAGAGTTAAAGATTTTTAAGTTTGATTGTAATAGTATATTCTTTGCTATATAAATATTTTTTTACAAAAATATTCTTTATTAAAATAAGTTCATTAGATATATTTATTTACTTAAATTTTATTTTAAATATGAAATTATAATATTTTTAAAAATTAAAAAATTATTAAAATTATTTAAATACATAATTCAACAAAAAAGGTTACATTAAAATTAAAAAAATTAAAAATATATTATTTCATTTCATTCAAATAAAAGAAATTATTAATAGATGCGTACTATTAAAATGTAGAAACAAAATAAATTTTAATAATATTATTAAAATTAGCAAGTTTAATAAATAATGAGATAAAAGAGAAGAGAGAGAGAGAAATTATAAATAAATAAAAATAATAATAAAAAAGTGAGAGGGGGAGAGAGAGGTAGAGAGTGGAGTGAGAGTGAAAAAAATAGAGGAAAAAGAGAAATGAAAATATACAGAGAGGGATAGGGAGAGAGGAAAAGAGATGGCAGGTGAGAGCGAGAGAAGGAGAAAGAAAAATAAAAAGAAAGGAAAAATTATTTTTTGTTTTTAAAAAAATACTATCATCTTTATATATATATATATATATATATAAATTTCTTCTAACTCAAAAAAAAAAACTAGATTTTCTCTAATGAAAATATTTTTGTGCAAAATTAGATTAAAAATAATTTTTTAAAAATTATATTCTTAAAAAAATTATTAAAATAACTACCAAACATTAAAAATATAGATTATTGATTTAAAATTCTCTAAAAAAATATATTTACCTTAACAAACTTCTCAAAATTTTACAATCATGAAACTGGAAATGATATTTTTTTTGTTTATAGAAGACAAAAAAAAAGGGTGTATGAAATATATATAAATAATAGGTTATTATTGTTGGTGTGTCTCTATTGTAATGATTTGACAAATATTTATTGTAATATTATAAATTTTCAATTATAATATTTTTATTAATATTCATGAATAAGTTTATTATTTTTAAGCGAGTTGAGCTAATATAAGTGATATCTAGTTATATTATTATGAAAAGATATTTCTTTTAATAATAATAATATTAGTCTTTTATTTTATTTTTAATAATATCAATGTAACTTTTATTTTAAGTATTACACCGCTCAATAACTTTATGTTAAATGTAAATTTTGTAAATTCAACCATTATATTGAAAGTTCATCATATTATTATGTATTACACCGCTCAATAACTTTATATTAAATGTAAATTTTGTAAATTCAACTGTTATATTAAAAGTTCACATCACATTATAATGTTTATATCAAATTTTGTTAAAATTGAACAACAACTTGAAGGTAATTAAAGTGTTCATATTTTAGTATATTTTAAAATGTATATATTACGACAATTTTGTTTTATAAGAATGAAGTATCAAATCAACTTGGATTAATATAAAATTTTGTATATATGATCTAAGAGTACAAAACTTTCAATCTAACAGTTAGATTTACAAAATTTACATTTAATATAAAATTATTGAACAATATAATACTTAGTAAAAATTACACATCAATGTTATTATAACACTTTATATATATATATATATATATATATGGGGAATGCTAATATACTCCCACCTATTTTTTAGTGGGAGTATGTTAGCAACCTATACCACTTATTAATTTTATTCTCCAATTCATTTATTTTTTCTATTAATTAATATTTATTTGTTCAGAGAGAGGGGGAGACATTATGAGAGATAAGAGAGAAATGAGTTAAATAAGAAATTTAATAGGAGAGAGATAAATAAGTTAGAGAAAGAATTTAATAGGAAAGAGAAATGAGTTGGAGAAAGAATTTAATAGGAGATAAAAATGATTTAGAGAATGAAATTAATAAAAGAGAGAAAATATTTTATTTTCATTTAAAATTAAATTAAATTACTATAATATCTTTTATACAAATTAACCAAATCAAAAGAAATGAGTGATTTTTTTTTCCTAAAATTTTGGTGTAAGTTGCTAACATATTCCCACTAAAAAACAGGTGAGAGATATCAGCATTCTCATATATATATATATGAGGAGGATTCAAACGACACCGGTGTAACTTTTACTAAGTGTTACACCGCTCAATAACTTTATATTAAATGTGAATTTTGTAAATCCAACCGTTAGATGGAAAGTTCATATCTCTTAGATCATATATGTCAAATTTTATATTAATCTAAGATGATTTGATACTTCATTCTCATAAAACAAAATTGACGTAATATATACATTTCAAAATATACTAAAATATGAACACTTTGATTACCTTCAAGTTGTTGTTCAATTTTAACAAAATTTGACATATATGATCTAAGAGATATGAACTTTCAAT